AAGAAACCCCGGAAAGAGAGACGGGGAAGCGGGAATTAGCGCGCCCAGCGCAGCGCCAGCCAGGACAGCCCGGGTTCCGCCACGACAGGTCAGTTTGCTGCCGCTTTGTTACGTGGTCAGAGCCGCCCAAAGGCGGCGAGATTCAAGATCTCTGTTCTCTGCGGCCCCCCCGAGGAGAGCGCAGGGCTGAACACACGGGCGGGCAGAGGTCCGGCAGCATCGCCCTCCTCCCCGCTGCTGCCCAAAAATCCCGACTGCAAAGCGCTTTTGCAAAGGAGACCGGAAAAGCAGGTCGGGCCGCGGCGAGGCCTTGTTTATCGCGCTCCCCCGCCCGCTGCTTGGGGCCCTCCTTGCCCTTGTCGTCCGTCCCAGGAGGCGGCCGGACGCCCCCCCACCTGCAGAACTCGCCCTCCTGGATCCTCCCGTCCCCACCGCCAGCAGAACTGACCTGACATCATACTGGCGCTGCTGACGGGAGTGCTGCCACCCGGCATGGTGGAGGAGCCCATCCGAGCTTGGTCTTTCACGATGGGATCTAGGAAGAGCACACCACCCCCCCTCAGGCGCCGACAGCACACGCAGCGGCGAGCTGCCTGCGCCCAACAGCGTCCCCCATCGCCTGCTGGAGCGCAGACGTTCCCACCGGCCCTGGTGGGGAGCGCCCAAGAGGGCGCCAAGGTAACGTCACCCGTGGAAAGTCGCCCCAGCGACGGGAGCTCGGCAGGGCTGCTCGACAGGAAAAAGGAAATTAAGGTGAAGTTGTTCTGGGCTAAGCAGCTGCCTAATTGCAGGGAGCCAAGCCCAGAAAACGGGTGTAGCAAGCAGAAAGATTGTCACTAATTACCCTCGTCTGTCACGTCTCTATACGCATCCCATGGCAGCCTGTGAGTCGTAACGAGCACCACCGGAGCTCGGTGGCCTCTGAGATGTTCCCAACTCACCCACCAGCTCTTTCTTTTCAGCTGCGGGTGAACAACGCCACCACCGGCGCCGAGCCGACCCCCTCCTGCCTCCCCAGCCCCCTGCATCAGAGGAGGGAATCTCAAATTCTGCCCTTCCTCGGGCCGAGCTCGGTGCAACCTGTACCTCTAGTCGGACACAAGCTGATTTTGCTGTTTGTCCGACTCCCACATTCCAAGCTTTCAGCTTCACTTTAGGTTTCACTTCAACGTTCGCCCCAGGCACGAGGCAGATCTATAGTGTTTGTTAACAACACAACTCCCTGGAGCAGCAAGAAAACCCCCTGAGCAAACACCCGTATTTGGCGTCGCTACAGCTATTTCAAAACCTAAATATCAGGATTTGTGAAAACCAGCAAGCATTTAAAAACATCTCCTAGTGAAAGTTCCATTTTTGCTCGCAAAGCCAAAGACCTCAACACGCCGAGGTGCACGTTCAGCCACAAAACGAGTTACGAAGGCTTGTTTCTCAACAACCCAGAGTTTTACCAAGTCACAGGAAT